TAATAAAAAATTTAAAATGATTTTTTTAATTTTGAAGTGATGAGTATTAATTATTTAAAGATTAAATGAAAGATTAAATACATCAAAATGTAACGGTTTTTGGAGAGAAAATTGTTAAATTGTCACATAGGTAAAATTAAATAGGTTTTATTAAATGTTTTGAGCTACTAATTATATATATATAGATGTAATGCATATACACGCACAATAGAAAGCCACAAACACATATATTAATGCTCATATCTACAAAATATGTCAGCTCCAACGTCACTGGCCCTTATAAGTTATATCTCTCTCCTCCATCTAGCTGTGTGTAAATATATGAATTCACGTAATACACGCTAACCAACAAATTCGCTACTTTTTTTTTTTTTTCAACAATATTGAGTAATATGTTTAAGTATATACTTAATCATTTTTCTATACACGAACTTAAGAGATTGATGTTTTCGAGTAGGATTGCAAACTAGTCGAATGATGTTCGAGTGCTTGAATTAAGGTCGAGCACCTCGAACTTGAGTCGAGCTCGAGCTTTGTATTCATAAGCACGATTATACGATGAGAAGTTTGAGTATATGTATAATTATTACCTAAATATCTCTAACTCAACTTCAATTAGATTTAAAATCAAGCAAAATTCTCCTAAAATTCAAGTTGATTTCGAACATTTGTACAACTTTGTCAAGTCGAATTGAATTATAACGATCTTGACTCGTCAAGCTCGAGCACCAATAAAAATAATTGTGTTTGGCTACATAAGGACATTGTTCTATTCGTTTCTACTTATTTACAGCCCTAGGTGTAAGGTATTTATGAAACTCTTTCAACATATATATTTTGATAAGGACATTGTTCGACTCGTTTAGAACTAATATTTGATTTTTTTGGGTTATCCAAATATTATTATAAATCGACACATGCCATATGGCTCTTCTTCTTCTTCCTTTTTTTCTTCCTTCAATGTGGGAAAGTGTCCATAAAATATTCAAAGCTAGTAAGGTGTAAGCAGCTTCCACATCACCACCTTACATAAATTTGACTTTCCCTATTAAAAAACTAACTGATTGGATTAAAATAGCACTGAATGGCACTACATGACAAATGGGGCCTTTTTTCATTCACATAGTGATATGGATGTGAATGTGATCTACGATATCTTTGAATCCCCAAAAGATATTGAAATATTGAGATTGTCGAAGGCTGCAAGTTAGTTTGCACCATGTATTGCTCTTGAAATGGAGAAGGTAAGAGATTAATAGATAATTAAATCTAATGCTGATATTTGGTATTAGTTTGAGTAGTTCCATAATTGGCACATCTATATCTATATATAAGAAGAATATTCATTTATTAAAAATAGTAGCCAGAAAAATTGGAAACATTTAATGCATACTTTATTTTGAATCTTTTTAAATATATGCATTAATTGCTTCTATATACACATTTTCAAATAAGATCAAATCAGATATGATAAAAAATATCGTTTCCTTAAATAATTTTATTGATATTCATTATAATAAATAACAAGATTGATTTTGTGATAATTTTGATCAAGATAAATATAAAAAACATATTTTAATCATAATATTAATTTTTTTTCACAAATATTCAATTTTTATCCTGAAATATTAATAGAAAATTGTAACATGTTAGGTATATTTTTTCTTTTAATTAATCAGACGAAATTAAGTTTGTGAATTAATCTTTTTCAATATATTTTTTTTCTTAAGCTTTATTTCATTATATATAAAAAATAAATTATATTTCAAATTATTATAATTTATCATTTAAGAGATAATGACCAGATACATTAAATAGTTTTACTAATGGTCAAAAAATAAAAATATATTAACTGGTATTTAGAATTTATTTGTATATTATTGTCAACCATGTTTAATTGTTTTAATCATTTTTTTTTATTTTGATTTCTTTATATAATGAAATTCTTGTAAAATATATTTTTTACAAAGTATGTTAAATAAACTATAAATTCTTATGATGCAAATTAGAAAAAAATTCTTGATTATAGAAGGGATTGAGTTTTTTACATTTGCTAAATAAAAGTTTTTTCTGTAGTATACAAAATTAAATCCTAGAAAAACATTTGTGTATATTTTATAAAATATTTATATACTGTTTAATTTTAAATTTATTTACATTTTTAAATTGATTACGCAAATAAATAATATTAACGTGCATTAAATATTTTTAATTACATAAAATAAAAAGAAAAATAAGACGTATTGATTCTACAACTTTTATAAAAAATAATAACATTATATGACAACAAAATTTACAATAAAATAATAATGAAGTATTATATGGTGAACAAGAATAAGTAAACTTGTTATCTTCTCTTATATCGAGGAATAAATATACATACTAAAATCAAATTTATATTAGTATAAATGTGTTAGTGACATATTTACAGGCTAGCGCTAACATGCTCATATTGATGTTCTAGCTAAAAAACAACACTGATTAAAAGAGATAGAAAATAGATGATCCAACTCTATTGTTTTTTAGCTTAAACGGACAGAGTCTGTAAAAATGATCCATTTAATATCTTTGTCTCGTACATCGCACGAGCTACGTACTATTGAGATTGTAGAAGATATGACATATTACAAATTGTGAGTATATTGACATAAACATAGTTTAATAAATAAATAATGGCGCCTACGTGAGTGTTTTTTCGTAATTCTTCATACTATTCTAGTTCTTCTTTTTTTGTCGTTTATTAATGAATGATAAAAAAATAAACAAAAAGGAAATTACTATTTTACATGTTTATTACAACTTTTGTAAAAATACGACATTTATAATAAAACTATATATTAACCATTTATAAACTTGAAAATTAATGAGAAAAGTAAACAAAAAACCACCCATACATAAGCTATATGATCTTTTTAGTAAAATAAAAATTTCGTTAAGTGTAAAAATAAAATGAGATTTGAAGATAAATAATGTGATTTTCTCAAAAAAATGTCCATCCCATTGTTGCTGGACTTAAACTACGTAATAGTTGGGCTCACATGAGCTCCCTACATTCTAATCCATAGAAAGTAACAAGTGGCGAATTTTTTAACATATCACAAGATTTTAAAATATTTATAAAAATATGTGGTGGTGTATATTAATTGCATGTATAAGTGGCGAATTTTTTAACATATCACAAGATTTTAAAATATTTATAAAAATATGTGGTGGTGTATATTAATTGCATGTATACCTTATTGCTGTTATTTGGTGATAAAACAGAATCAGTTACCTAAATATCTATTACCATGTTTAATTAAAAAACAATTTTCCTACAATCACGTTAAACTGAAAAAGAAAAGGTAAGTCTATATTACCTAATAATTAGGATTTTGTTCTTATCATGCTCGGAAAAAACGTGGAATTTTAGTTCTACAAAACATGCATGATCACATAAATAGAGTGTATATTTTACGTATATTTTATGTATATGTGGGTTCGATTTGAGAAACGATTGAAACTTGAGTGTATATTTTGTGTATATGTGTGTCCCGATCTGTAACTGGCTTGAATTACGAGAATCTCAAGTGCATATTTCACGTATATTTATGTACTTGTAGGTTCGATTTGAGAAACGATTGAATCTTGAGTGTATCATCACCTCATTCACCTCTTCCTTTAAATTCCCCTTCGGTAGCAATTCAGGTTCAGAACAGTGATTGCCCACATGATTATCGCCATTAAATTTATTCACCGTGTTATCTCCATGGATTAAAACGGTATTACCACGATTGGGCTTGGGGCTAGGGTTGCGGCCGGTGCTAGGGCCTGAAGTCGTCGTGCATCAATATCAGCCTCGGCGGACCGTCGAGTCCCAGAAATCGCGACCGATCGAAAAAAAAAAAGAGAAAAAAATCAATTAAAGGAGAAGAGAAAAAAATTCAATGAAGAAGAAGAAGAAGAAGAAGAAGACACGAGAGAGGGAGAGATAGAGATAAATCGCGACCGATCGAAAAAAAAAATCAATTAAAGGGGAAGAGAAAAAAAAAATAAATGAAGAAGAGTAGAAGAAGAAGAAGAAAGAGAGAGGGAGAGAGAGAGATAGAGTGTTGGGATATTAAATCCCATGAAGTTAGGTAATAAATTCCAATAAATTAGTCTTAGTAATTTTACAAATAAAAATGATAGTTTCGTAGGAATGCAATAAAAGATTTGTTGTATCGTGTCAAGAGTAATTTTCTCAAGTAAAAGTAACAAAGTATTGACTTTGGTATTGGGCTTCTAAAACTAATATTCAAAGCCATAGAAAGTAGGCCAATTATTGACTAGTATTAGACTATGTATATCCGTGATCTTTTCATTTGGTCACGGGAATAAGACAAACAAAAAATTGAAAAAAAAATAAAAAAAAAAAAGGTCACAAACTTTGCGACCCAGGTCACATGGTGACCCAGGATCGCGACCTGTTTTTGTGTAGGAATGGGACACTTGTCCCATTTTTATTGGACAAGTGTATTTTTTTTGTTTCTAAAAAAAATAAAAGAAATACTAAAATTCATATTTTCTCATTCTCTACAAATAGAGACCACACTTGATATAAAATACAATTACAATTTTTTAATAAATTAAAATAAAATAAATGTTTAGGTTGAGTTGGGTTGGGGATAAAGATAAATTGGGTTGAAAGATTGAGTTGTGTAGGTGGAGGAGAGAAATAATTTTTAATTATTAGGTTGGGTTGGTTTGGGTTGGGGATAAAGATAGTCTTAGATTAGATAGGATAAGCCAAGATATCTACTCTTAATCTTGTATTTGTTACCCACGATTCTGGCCCGCATGACATGACACGGCCCGCGATGCACAGTGCTTTTATCGTGCATATTCTCGATAAATGTGTCTGGGCTGAGGGGGTGCGATTATAACACGTCTGAACAGTGTTTCATATAGAAAGGACTCTATTGCCCCTCAATTACCACTATGTAGTACATTTCTGCAAGTGCAAGCCTGCAACCATCGCCTTACTCGAAAATTTCCGGCAGATCTCGCACCTCCATCTCCGCCGCCACGTTCTCCAGCCTCCCAATGCCGGTGCCACCCTTCACCCCTAGATACGTGACCTCTAACTCCTCCTTAGAAAGATTGGAGAATTGCGTGATGCCGTGGACGGCGGTAGGGTCCATCGCCTGGTGCTCCGCGCCCTGATAAGGTTCCCGGCGAAGATCCCCGGGCAGTGCAGGTACTCCGAGCCAGATGCGGACCAAAAATTTTGGGTAAAGATTTTTATCACCTCTGCAAGGTTTTAACGGGTACAAATTGGAAGAGGAAAAAAAAATTGGCAAACAAAGTTTGAAATTGAATGCAACGAANAAAAAAAAAAAAAAAAAGAAAAAAAAAAAAGAGATTGGAAGGCCATGTTGCAAAGAAAGCGGTGCAGATGTCTGTAGAAGGAAAAAATGGAAGGCAACGATAAAAATCTTTTTATCAAAAAGGAGGGTTAAAAAAATAAAAAAATAAAGGAAGAGGAAAAATAATAATTGAAAGTTATAAGGGCAAAACTGACAATACACAATTATATCTAATTAGTTATCTAGAGAAACAAACATTGTGGTGAGTACAACACTATCTTATCCGAATTAACAATCACTCGTAACAAATGTGAGTTTACTGTTTGTCCCATTTTTGTTGCATTTTTCGTACTTATTTCATCTTTCTTTTTCCTCCGTTTTAGGTCTTTTCGTTAGTTTTTATTCGTTCTTATAGTTTATTGTGTGTTTATCTCCATTTTGGTTTTCTATGTGTTTTCCGTATGTTTTTCCGATTTTTCTTTGTTTATGGTGTGTAGGTCGGAAGCCTCGAGAGGACCGGATTTCAATCGAAACTTAGTCGGGCAAGCATAATTAGGTAGAAAAGTTTGTTGGCAATGCACAGGAAAAAACGGAATCGAATTCCGATACCAGACGAGCCCGAACGACTCCAAAATGTGAAGTAGTGCGAGTTGTCCAGGCCCCGCGCGGAACGCATTGCACATGACCAACACGCCCCCGCACCGCGGCACAGCAACACGCCGCGGCAGACCTCTTTCTCGCGCCGCGGCACACCCACACGCCGCGCTAGGCAGCTTCCCCACGCCGTGCCAAGGCCTCCACGTCGCGACATGCTTTTCCCATGCCGTGACATGATACTTATATAAATACTCGTACGGGACTTTCACAGAATCATGCTGGCCCTTTGGGGTGAAAACCCTAGGTCGGGAAAAACACCACGAACACTCTTTTCTCCTCTTTTTCTTCCATTCTTCTTCTTCATTTTCCTTCTTCTCTTCACATTTCTCTTCCATTTTTCTTCTTCTTCTTAGTAATTAGGGATTAAGCTTTGTATTTCGAATTCAACTTTGGAACTTGGATTGATTGTAAGTACTGCTTTCTCTTATTTGATTCATGAATAATGGTTATTTGAGAGGAATGATTATGATTGTTGAATTTGATTTACGTAGCTAAATCTGATTGCTATGGATAGGGGATGTTTGTTCTTGTTTAACGTGAATTTGTCGGGCTCAAGATTGTTCATGCTTATGTGAGTTGAATTAAATCAGAATTGATGAATTTGTGCTTGATTGATTGATATAATCGAAAAGTGACACTTCGATCTTGCGATTGGAAACGATTGAATGTCAAGTTGTCAAGTTAGGGTTTGTCGATTCTATATGATTAGTTGAGTAATCACCTTCTAGTTAATTAGAGACCTTTAGAACCGAAAGGGGAGAAGTCGTAGGCCTAGGCTTGCATGAGGTAGATGATTTCGTAATTGAATAGTCTATTGGTTTTGGATTGAAATACGCGCTTGTCGATGACCCGTCCTTTGTTAAGAAAAGTTATTAGGATTGGGATAATTGGCCTGTGTCGTATGCTCGAGTTTGTTCGTCTATGTTCAATCCCTTGTTACGAAGAGTTATTGGGAGCGAACCGCTAGATGTTTAAGCGAGAGTGTCAATCTCGAACTTAGCAATTGATTGTCCGGTTTTGCTAAGAACTTGAATAAATTATCCCCGATTCCCTAGCTTCTCCATCTTTGTTCCGTTTATATTTTTAGGTAGATTATTGTTTTATTTTATTCCTTAGTTAATAATTTATCCAATCTGCTATCTGTTAGAGTGTTTAGGATTTATTTTCTTTTTGTGTGAAATCAATACCAAAGCTAAATTTCGAACCGCCTTCCTTGAGAGATCGACCTGGAGAATGAATCATTCGATTCGATACTCGGTAAAAATATAATTTGCTACAACATTTACTTTTATCTACACAATACAATCTACCCTTCTCATATTAGTTTAATAATCTCATCATGCAAAACAAATGAGCTCTTAGGCGACTAAAATTTCCTTTACTTCTCTAAGCCCGATTCAAGTTTCTTTGGTCCAACCCAACAAATTCTAAACACAATTAAGAAAAGATAAAAAGAAAAAGTAAGGGGAAAATGCAAAAGATAAACAAAATGGAAGAACTCAACGAGTGCCACGTCACCCCAACTCCCCCATTTCATACTTCAACAACACTCCTAAACTCACAAAAAGATAAACTCCACAGAAAAAGAGTTCAAAGAAAAAATTTAGAACCGAAAATGCTGAGAATCCTGACGAAAACTGCCTCATCCATGGCGAAAATCGGCCGATCTACCCCTGACGCCCGGCGAGACGACGTCGATCTGTCCGCGTGGGAGCTCGTCAGCCCGTCTCACTCCGACGACGAGGACCTCTACTCCTTCGACGGCGATGACATCACCAGCGGCGGAGATGACGGAGACGCTCGCTCGACAAGTGTGCTTTTGACCCCGTGCGACATCGTCTCCGTCCAGTGCCTGTCGATCTCACCGCCGTTAACTCTGCCCGTCGAGACGACGGCGTTTGATGGTCACGCGTGCCATGGAGATGGTGATGTTCACGATGACGTCGCGCGTGATGTGGATGACGATGATGATGATGGTGATTGTGATTATGATGATGAGTTGGTGCCATGGAAGCTGAAGGGCAGATTTGGAAAGCAGAGGCTGAGGAAATTGGGGAAGAGAGGGGGCCCAAACCCTAACAAGTCTAAGAGGATGCCGTTTTACTATAATAGGCCTGGGTGCTTGTACGGGAAACACGGGTTCGGCGTGCAGCACTCATTCGTCTAGCAGTGGCAAAATGTGTAAAAAATTAATGGTCGGGATGAAATGGAGGTTCTCAGGTTATATTTCCATCTGTTTGACTGCTAATATGTTATGAATAGTAGGTGTTGATATGCTTGTCTGATGATCAGGTGGTTGTGAATATAGATGATAGTGTTTGTGATATCTAATCCAAGATCTCGCTGACTTTTGTGATTTCTTCTAATATGTTATGAATAGTAGGTGTTGATATGCTTATATGATCAGGTGGTTGTGAATATGGACGATAGTGTGTGATTTCTAATCCAAGATCTCGCTCGACATTTGTGTTTTCTTCTAATATGTTATGAATAATAGGTGTTGGTATGCTTATTTGATTAGGTGGTTGTGAATATGGATGATAGTGTTTGTGATTTTTAATCCAAGATCTCGCTCGACTCTTGTGATTTCTTTGAATTTGTGAATTGGATGAAGAATGTTGCATTATCGTGTTGGGCATGCAATTTGTTTGGTTTGTGTGAACTGATAAATGTGTGTGTTTTTGTGTTTCATATTCATTCAACTCTGTGTTTTGTTGCTCTGTATTTAAACAAAAGTATGCCCTCTGTGTTAAATAAACCTTTGATTAGCACTGCACATGTCATACTTTTTGAACTGAAATGCTTACTTGTACTACTGAAGTATCATACTTCTTTTAAGTTGTTGTTTAAGACATTAGAATATGAAATGCATATTTGTGAAAAAAGGTATGTCTAACCTTTGGAGCTGTACAAATAACTTGAATTGTACATGTATTATGGTATTTGGGGCACTTTTACTTGAAGTGAATAGATAGTTTAGTATGGTTTGGTGCTATGTGGTTCGGCATGGTTATGCTGATGAAACTTGTGTACTCAGATAATAACTGAGTGGCCCTGTTTATGTTGGCTCCCTGGTGAATGTCAATGGTATTCTATTGAGGGATACACTTTTTTTAAGTTTTTGCATAATTACAGAGAGGCCCGGCTCCTCTTCAAGCTTGCAAATTGTTTTAGTGGCAGAATTTCAGGGTGCTGACTGTAAATGTTAGTATTGCTTATAAAATGCTACTTTTGAAATGCTTTCTTTTTAATCTTATTTTGCTTATGAGGAGTTATCACTCGGAATATCAAATCAAAATTTAAGGGCAGCTGCTTCTCCTTGTGGTGTTGTTTTTCTTCTCAATTTCGTGTATCAAACATGAATGGTGTTATTGTAAGGGTTTGTTATGTCTCTTTTGAATACATTTATTTGTATTGGAATTTGGACCATGTTTGTTATTTGGACATTATGCATTGAGACTCCTGTTAGTCATTTCATATGTATGTTTGAACTTGTGTCATGTCTTATGTGGCATTCCCAACTCAATTGATAAGCGGCTCAAACGTTCAAATTTTGCCATTTGTTTATTCGAATTCAGTAAGACATGGTTAAAAGTGTTTTTTTTTTTACTGTTCAACATTATATGGGGCCTTTTGATGTCGGAAGGTTCAGTGTCAGTGTCCTGGATGAATCTTTTATCGTTGGATGAGCACACACATCCAAGTGAGTGTGATCCAACGGCCGTGAGGACACTGCCTCTCCTGAATTGCCTTCTAGACACGAATTTTCCTTAATTTTGTACAGTTATTGTTGATAATATCTTGGAAATCAAGATATTGATATTTCGTACCATTATGTTCAAATCTTTAACGAAGGGAACACTTACAATACCACTAAAACATGCTTTCATCAATAAAAAACAATAATCATTGTTGTAGTCTACGCTCCTAGAATCAAAAGAATTTTGTGAAAGCTTGTAAGAAAATGCTTTTGGCAAAAAATTGAAATATTAAATAAAACATTGTCATAAAATTATATTTGTGGTGTGGCGAGAATGGTTTAGACTATGTACTACTTATCTCTACTCTAGTATCCCTACTCTAATGTAGAAAATCAAGTTTGTAGTACCTTTACTCTAATTTAGAGTTTACACAACTTAATAGTAGAGCGAAACAAAAATTAAGTTTGCTTCTTATCATTCATACTACATATTATTAAGTTTGCTTCTTATCATTCATACTACATAAAGTTTGCTTCTTATCATACATACTACATATTACTACGCATATATTATTTATATTATTATTATATTTATCATGCCAAAAATGTTATTTAATTTGCCATATTATTTTACAAAATAAATATTTTCACGATAGTAATTGGTCTGCTACTAGTTTGAAATATTATTTAAAATAAATATTATTTTTACAATATTATACATTATTTTATTCATTTTATACTACAATATAAGTATACATCTTTTAAAAAAAATATTTTCGTATAATTCTAAAATTAAATTATAAATATATTGGTACAACTTTGTCAATAATCCTTAAGATAAGTCAAATACATACAATATAAAAATAAAATAAATAAATAAATTATAGAGTAATAAATAGTACCGCGCTAGACGTAGTACGACACTGTTCATAACTCTAGTAGTGTAGAGATGGAGCACGACAATTTTATCGAAACTCTAGGGTTTTATGCTAGAGTAACTCAAGATTGGAGTTGCTAAGGAAATAATGTACGTGGACCAACTTTTGAACTTATATTCTTATTTAGTGTAATTATCTAATGTAGATGGATTCAATAGTTCAGTGATATGCCAAATGAACTTTGGCTTCATTGATATGCTTAACCCTAATCAAAATAATACACAAATAAAAATTTACATCCAAATATTGCAGTATTTGAATATTCACTTCAGTAGCACTCACTTAATTAACAAGTCAATTTGTAATTTCCATCCGTGGATACAAAATAATATTTTATTTTATTTTTTTGGAATGAAAGAATCCTACAAATAACACAAATTAGACTATAAAACAGTTAAACAGTCGAATAAATCAACTATCGAGCTAAATCTAGGTAAGAGGACCACACCAATGACCGCATAGAAATAACCCACCAAACTCCCAATTGGAGAATATAAAACTCCTACAAATAGAAAATATAAGTTACATATGAGTGAAAAGAAACAAAACACAAAAAAATAAAAAACATGATAAAAAGCTAATAGCTAGATTATTAAAGCCCTCCCCACCTTGCATCAAACCACTCCAAAATGCCCAAAATCAAAACCAACGCAAAGGTCCAACCCTCGGCCCACATTCAGATTTAGAAACCTTCCTACCGCCTAAGGCCGTGCTTGTTTATGAAATATTTCATTCAAAATGAGTTATTTTAGTTAACTAGAGTTAATTTTGAAAAATGTAGTATGGTTAATTGTTAGTGGGATTTTAAGAATGTATTAAAATAATATTTAAAATAAAATGATTAAAATTGATTTGATGTAAAAATAAGAGATAAATGATTAGAAATGATAGGTAGTTAAAATTATGTGAGTAGATGAATAGTGAATTAAAGTTAATGTGATGTGTAAGAATGATTGATTTGTATTATTTAATTATATGAATAATATTAAAGATAATGGGGTGGGGTTAAAGTTGATTTAGATTTTGAGTATGAATTGGATTGAAAATGAAATAATTTGTAAACAAGCATGCCCTAAGTGAATTTAGTCCGAACAAACTTTCCTACTTGCTAGAAGGAAAGTGGGGCCCGCCACCACTAGCAGACCTGCCAGCCGTCGCAACCAACGAAATGAAGAGGAAATCCACTCGTAAAAGGCCGCGAAAGCCCGCCCAATCTCTCGTGGACAGCCATGGTGCCGTCCCGTACGCCAGTCTCGCCGGGGGAGAGGTGCTCCATCGGTGGAGAAGCACATAATTTACACTCCAAGGTAACATAGGCCACATAGCTCAGAATTAGATTTTCATCAGCAAATTTTTTTTTTCTTAAAAAGAAAAGGGTAAGTTCTCCTAAAATCTCTAATGGCATGATTGGTATGATGGAATGAAATTTTGTAAGAATGGAATGAATTAAAGAATGGAATTATTATGGGAATGGAATGAAACATGTTCTGTCATTGATACGTTTGGTATGCAAAATGAATAGGACTGGAATGGAATGACACTATTATTTTTTATTATAAAAATAAATAAAAGCCTTTTTTTTAAAGAATAATATACTTTTAATAAATTATATATAAATTCTTTTTTGATAATAAATAAAAATAAAATAATATATTTTTAATAATATATTTTGAATAATATCTAAAAATAGAATAATATATTTTTAATAATATATAAAAATAAAATAATATATTTTTAAATTATATATAAAAAATAATATATTCTTAAAAGTAACATATTTTTAATATATAAAAAATAATATATTTTTAATAATATTTAAAAATAAGAAGTAATATATTTTTAATAAGATATATTTTATTGTTGAATTAAACAGTAAATAAAAGTAAGTTTTTAATTCATTATTTGAATTTTATTTTTAAAATAATATATTTTTAATAATTTAAAATAAAATTAATATATTTCAATAATATATATTTGTAATATTATTCAATAATATATTTTTAAAAGTAATATATTTTTAATATGTAAAAAATAATGTATTTTAATAATATATAAAAATGAAATAATATATTTTTAAATTATATATAAATGCTTTTTTTAGTTTTATTTTTATATAAGTATTTAATATATCTAATTAAAAAATAAATAAAAGTAAGTTTTCAATTTTTTATTTGAATTTTTTTTAAAAAAAATAATTTTATTTAATATATTTTAATCATGATTTATAATATATATTATATATTTATTTTTTTTTTTATTTGTTAATTTTATTTTTTAAAAAATTGATTCCTACACACATGGGAATGATAAAACCTTTCATTTACTATGGAATGGCTAATCCCATGAAAATGGGTTTTGCCATTCCCATTGGAATGGTCATTCCTTCCTAAAAAATATACCAATCATTAGATAAGTAATGAGTAAGGGAATGATCATTCCATTCCCATGTCATTCCTTCCTATTATTTTACTCCTCAGTCCCCATACCTTTATTTCTTCCTTTCAACTCCCTATTCCTTAATTTTCTTCCTCTTAACTCCCTAACGTTAAAATTAAATCAAAACTAAAATGCTTTATTACATCATCCTACTAACATATTATTTTATTTGTTTTCTCTTCCACCAACCACAACACATAATAGTATTTTATTACCTTTTGATCAGTCTTCTTCTACACCCTTTCTCCCTCCCTCCCGTCACTCTCCCGTCTTCCTCCATTTCCGGCGACTGGTTCCACTTTTTTTTTGCAGGTCGGTCTCTCCGGCGACCCAAATCCGGCGAGAAGAACTCCGGCAACAACAAATCCGGCCAAAGAAGTGATTCCGACGTCAAATTTGTGCGGTCAAGAATTCATTTTTTCCGGCAACATTCGTGCTTTTTCCGGCCAAATTTTGAAGTAGCAAGTAATATATGTATTATATGAGCATTTTGGAGTCCAAAAAATCATGTTTAATTCGTATATATTTGGTTAATTTGTTTGGGATGAATTTTGAAAATTGTTGTTCATATTAACCCTAAATCAATTAAATTGATCAAAATCTCTTATTTCTTGTTTACGTATACGAAATTGATGCTATTGTTAAGTTGTGTAATGTGTTATTCACCCTAAAACAAGAAAATAAGGTGGGAATGATCACTGTACCACTATTCTTGATTATTGTACCTCTGTTGCATGTATATAGTACCACTTTAATACTGTTTAGTACCATATTTTCCTGGGAAATGTGAAGTTCTTTTTTTATTTATCCAAATATTGTTAGATACATGGAAAGGGCACAAAGTGATATACTAGGGAATTGTACGTACAAGAATGAATTGTTTATGTTCTCTATGCACATTGGATCAACGCTTGACGAAGTGTACACTCTCATATCAAAGAGGTGGCCGAACGTTAATTTCGAATCCGTCGTGCTATGCTATATTGCGCCAAAAGAAAAAAAAAATAGAGTTACTTTGTTGGATGATGAGGATGTGAAGAACATGATTCGGTTACACTTTTGTTGGAAATTAAATATTGTAGAGATAATTGTCATGGAAAGAAATGAAAGACGGGATGATGGAGTTCAATCCTTCCCGATGAACACGAGCAGGTAATGTTGTTTTCATAATATTAATGAATTTATTATTGAAATATGGTATAGTCGTATCCTAGTTCATTAATTATTTAACTTATTCCAATATTTATAAATGTTTGTATTATTTTGTCATGAACGCAGGGAAAACGTACAGTCTGATGATTTGTCGGAGGGAGAACATGAGTTGTTGCAAGATAAATCGATCGATTCTTGGAGATGTTGCCTCAAAGGAGAGGGGTAAATATTCGCTGGGGCCGACGAATTTCGAAAGAGTGTAAAAAACTACGCAATTGCAAACAAACGGTCCTTTACGAAATAGTGGAAGTTAAAAATATAGGTAAATTTTGGAGTAGTCATGTATGATCATTCAATGAGATGAAGTGTGTCTTTTAATGAGATGAAGTGTATTACTAGTATTTTTTCATTAGTGTGTTGAATTCGTGACCAATTTGCGATTAAACTTAATTAAACACATTTTAAATATCATATAAACTAATGTGAGAGTGATAATGAGTCATATAAACATTATTTGAGACCAAAATTCAGTATTTCTTTATGTTCGTTGGGGTTGGTACTAAAGACCCAATATCTGGTACTAAAACACCAAAAGCTGGTACTATCTTACTCTAGGTCTGGTACCAATTTTTGCAACTGTTGACCAAAATTGAAGTAATCCATTTTCGCTGATCAAAAGTAGGTACCAATTGATTAAAAACAGGTACTACGCAGAAGAAGAAGTGGTACTATTTCTGTCAAAACTGGTACCATTTTAGTAATCGTGATTTCTTTAATCCTCCATGTCCACCATGCATGTGGATCGTTCACGCATGATTTGGTTGAGAAATAGTGAAAGTTAAAACATATAGGTAGAATTTGAAATAGTCATGTATGATGATTATATGAGATGAAGTGTGTCATTCAATTAAATGAAGTGTATTAGTAGTGATTTCTCATTATTGTGTTGAGTTCATAACCATTTTACGATTAAACTCAATTTAAAATATTTTAATCTCATAGAAAATAACGTGAGAGTGATTATTGGTTATATAAATATCATTTTAGATAGAATTTGGTGTTTTTATGTGTTCATTACAAGTGGTACTAAAGACCCAATATTTGGTACTAAAACACCGAAAGATGGTACTACATTACTCTAGGTCTGGTACCCATTATTGCAAATGTTGACCACAATTGAATAAGCTATTTTTGTTGACCAAAAGTAGGTACTAATCGATTAAAAATAGGTACCGCGTAAAAGAAGATAATGTACTATATTGGCTAATACAAGTACTATTTTGAGAATCATGATTTCTCTAATCCTTCATGTCTACCATGACACGTAGATCGTTCACGCGTGATTTGGTTGAGAAATAGTGAAATTTAAAACATATAGGTAGAATTTGGAGTAGTTATGTACTATGATTCTAAGAGATGAAGTGTGTCATTCAATGAAATAAAATGTATTAGTAGTGATTTCTCATTAGTGTGTCGAATTCATGACCATTTGACGATTAAACTCAATTTCAAACATTTTAAATCTCATAGAAAATAATGTGAGAGTGATTATTGGTCATATGAACATCATTTGAGACCGAAATTCGTTGTTTTTATGTGTTCATTACGAGTGGTAATAAAGACCCAGTATTTGGTACTAAAACACTAAACGATGGCACTGCCTTACTCTAGGTCTGGTACCAATTATTGCAAATGTTAACTACAATTGAATAATCTATTTTCATTGACCAAAAGTTGGTACTAATCGATCAAAAACCAGTACCGCGTAGAAGAATATGCAGTACTATATTGGTTAATACAGGTACTATTTTGAGAATCATGATTTCTCTAATCCTTCATGTCTACCATGACACATGGATTGTTCACGCGTGATTCGGATGAAAAATAGTGGAAGTTAAAACATATAGGTAGAATTTTGAGTAATCATGTATGATGATTCTATGAGATGAAGTGTGTCATTCAATGAAATGAAGTGTATTAATAGTGATTTTTCATTAGTTTGTCGAGTTCATGACCGTTTTACAATTAAACTCAATTTAAAATATTTTAAATCTCATAGAAAATAATGTGAGAGTGATTATTGGTCATATAAACATCATTTGAGACCGAAATTCGGTGGTTTATGTGTTCATTACAAATGACACTAAAGACCAAATATTTTGTACTACAACACCGAAAGATGGTACTATCTTACTCTAGGTTCGGTATCAATTATTGCAAATGTTGACCACAATTGAATAATCCATTTTTGTTGACTAAAAGTTGGTACTAATTGATCAATAACCGGTACCACGTAGAAGAAGATGCGGTACTATATTGGCTAAAACAGGTACTATTTTAAGAATCGTGATTTCTCTAATCCTACATGTCTACCATGACATGTGGATCGTTCACGCATGATTTGGATGAAAAATAGTGGAAGATAAACATATAGGTAGACTTTCGAGTAGTCATGCATGATGATTCTATGAGATGAAGTGTTTCATTCAATGAAATGAAGTGTATTAGTAGTGATTATTCATTAGTGTGTCGAGTTCGTGACTATTTTATGATTAAACTCAATTTAAAACATTTTAAATCTCATAGGAAATAATATGAGAGTGATTATTGGTCATATAAACATTATTTGATACCGAAATTCGGTGTTTTTATGTGTTCACTAAAGTGGTACTAAAGACCCAATATCTGGTACTAAAACACCGAAAGATGGAACTATCTTACTGTAGGTCTGGTACCAATTATTGCAAATATTGACCACAATTGAATAATCCATTTTCGTTGACCAAAAGTTGGTACTAATTGATCAATAACTGGTACTGCGCAGAAAAAAAGTGGTATTATTTGCTTCAAAACAGGTACTATTTTACCAAAATCGGTTTTTTTTACGTTCATCAGAGTTGCTACGGAAGACCCGATATCTGATACTATAACACCATAATTGCGGTATTATCTTACTCTAGGTCTGGTACTAATATTGCAAATGTTGACCAAATTGGAAGTAATCCATTTTTTATTCTTTCTACAAAGTAGGTACTAATTCGTCAATAATCAGTACTACATAGAAGGAGTGGTATTATTTGTTGAAAAACGTGTACCATTTTACGAGATTCGTTATTTTTTATGTTCGTCGGAGTTGGTTGAAAAATATTAATTAATATAGGTAGAATTATTAATTAGTATACTAAATGGATCGTTCACGCGTGATTTGGTTGAAAAATAGTGGAACTTAAAAACATATAGGTAAAATTTAAAGTAATCAATTTTTTGTTCTTTCTACAAAGTAGGTACTAATTGATCAATAACTGATATTGAATAGAATAAAAGGTGGTACTATTTGTTGTAAAACTGGTATTGTTTTACAAAATCGTTTTTTTTCCTTCACAAAAGTAGCTACTAATCGAACACAAAGAGGTACCACGTAGAAGACGATGCGGTACTATTTTAGCTAAAACAGGTACCATTTTACCAAACAAAAAAATTCAAACAAAACCAAAAAATTTAAAACCCCATCATCCAAAATCGATTATCCACAAACCATACACAACAGACCAACCACAACATTTAGATCTTTCGAGCCATGGAAGCAGCCCTTATGTAGTACCAATCAGGATCATATGGCGCAAGCTCTTTGAGGACATCAGTTTTTACCAAATCAGTCTAGTCTGGCAGCTCTATCTATTGATCGTGAAATAATAAATAAAATAAGTAAGCGAAATAGCTTAGGGGAACTCATGTGAACTACCTTTCCGTGCACAAAACACCTTGTGGGGGTAGAATAATACAAACCAGATAAAGATCTTCATTAACAGAGAAGAAAACATGAACCATAACTGCCATTAACTGAACTTAATTAAGACAATATGATAACTAATCTTAGTGATTCAAAATCCAATCATCAATAATCTCACAGAGACAAATCAGTTCCACAATATAAATTGTATATCAAAACGTTTAATTAGACTAAATATTATGTGGTGTATACATATAATAATATATCAATTCATACGGTTGACTCTAGAATTTTGTACAATCTTAATAAAACAAAATATACAAATACTGTAGCAAATTTCGAGTGAGGCATGCAGGGGATGTAGAACACGTGTAATGCTAATACTTCTGCAACTCAATTGGCAATTAATGATAATAATTTAAGAATATTGCACGGTATATACCATTTAGCTATATCTAAATTATCTACATGCCTCATAGTTAATTTGCAGACGTCTCCTAGATTTCTCTCCAGGTTCGACTACACCATTTACAATTTCTCGTTACATTATTATTATTATTATCCAATCTGTATCTAATTAACAAAGAAAACGTTCTTAACCAAATAGACCTTAAATTCTTTTATTTTTCTGTTTGTGCTCTATGTATTAGTTCTAATCATTACATTACAAGCAAATAATAAAACAGGCTCTAGACAAGCAATTGTAAAATCATCAACGAAGTAAAACTACATCATCAAAAATCATTTACTACGAACAATGCCAAGAATCAAACAACCGAAAAACCAATAACACAAACAATAAATCTTCTTCACTCGGGACGCCCCAAAAATTAAGACTTTTCACAAGTCCCACCTCAAAATACATACCCTTTTTCAAAAAACACGCATTCACTTGAGATGACTAAGAGAAGAAAAAAAATTGAAATGAAAAACAGATAACAGTGCTAGTATAGGCAAAAACGTTCTCACCTTCCCCAAGCGCTTGATGTGGGAGGCGTAGGATTTGACGAACTTGTGCGGAGAGACATCCTTGACGGTTTTCACAGTCGCCATTACTAAGGAGATCAAGCTCAGGCTGCTAGGGAAAAACGATTTCAATTTTTGTTTCCTCTTCCAACCATCCAAATTAATTGAACAGAGAAATAGATTGATCGAGATCAAGAGAGAACAGATTAACATGAACATTAAAGTCTCAAATTAGATNAAAAAAACACAGCCCATAATCAAACATAATCCAAATCACAAATCAAGCACAATCACAGGGCGCCCACATAATCCTATTCTCTCAGTGACCCAAAACTATGAAATACAGATAAAGAGAGAGAGCAGAATTACACAAAATTAGGTCGAAATTAAAATTAATTGGGGGAATAACGACGACATGGGTTCCCTAATTTTGCGCGAAGAATCCGATGTTAATTTTGAGCAAGCCGTCGGCGACGGAGATAGTGAGTTTGCCGGCGGCAAGATGCACGAAGAGAGAGATAATCGTGTTCGTTGAAGAGAGGGAGATGCAAAAAGAGAGAGTAAAGAAAGAGACTAATAAATTATCAGTAAAATAAATCAATAATAATAGTATTAGTATTTATACGGGGAGTTGAGAGGAAAGATAAATTTATATTAGGGAGTGAAGAGGAAGATTTAAAGTGATAGGGATTGAGAAGTAAGTTGAAATGTGAGTTAGGGATTTATTAAGAAATATCCGAAAAGAAAATAATAGGAGAATGAAAATAAAATTCGGTGAAACATTAACTCAACCACTTTTTTTAACTCAACTTTAACTCAACTCAACTAATATTAATATTATTAATATAATTAAATAATATCAACCAATCATTCTTACACATCACATCAACCTTAATTCACTATTCATCCTCTCACATAATTTTAACTAACTATCACTTCAAATAATTTCTCTCATACTTTTATATTAAATTAATTTTAATTATTTTATTTTAAATATTATTTTAATATACCACTAATAACTAACTATACCACCTTTTTCAAAACTAACCAAACCAAACCAAACCAAAAAAATCCAAACAAATCCAAAAATTTTTATATCCAAGCATCATCTAACTCGCTGCTGAAGAACACGTGAATACGTGGATATAAATAAAAAATAAAATACCTCTCGATTAAAAAAATAAAAATAAAACTAGAACCCAGGCCCTTCTCTCCCTTGACACTCGTGTGTCGTGTCCTCATCCATCTTTTTTCGATCATTATTATCTCACCAGTCACCAATCACCATAGGCAAGAATTTTGCAGGAGGTTAACCTCTCGACGATTCATAGAAAGAGAAAATCACAGAGAGAGGAGCTGGTGACTCAATCCAACGGTGAAATATGGGAGACCGGCGGAGGGGATGCTGTCCTCCGATGGATCTGATGCGCTCGGAGCCTATGCAACTCGTTCAACTCATTATCCCCATCGAGTCTGCTCATCTCGCCGTTTCTTATCTCGGTGACCTCGGCCTTATCCAATTCAAAGACGTCAGTGATTCTTTCTCTTTTGTTTTCTGTTTACCTCGTTTGTTTTGATTCTTTCATCGTTTTTATTTGCCGTTGTTTGGGTTTTTCTTTTTTCCGGTAATGTTATGTGGCTAGGGCTTTGGTTTTTATTTTATTGCCCAGAGGTTGGGTAACTTTTCGTCTTTAGTGATTGGCGAGGACTTAATTTGGTTGACGTTGTTTAGAAGAAGAGATGAAGGCTTTTTAGATCGATGTTTGTTGGCTTGGGTTGTTGTATGAGCTGATTGGGATAGTTTGGTTGATGTTGTCAGAAGAAGAGATGACGCCTTTTAAAATCAATATTCGTAAGCTTGGGTTGCTGTATGAGTTGATTGAAATAGTTTGTTTGGTGTGTGCTTGAGTAAATTTTATGCAGTGAACGGAAAGTATGTATAAATGAGAATTGGGATGATGTTGTAGAAAGGTGGTGACGTGTGCTTTTTTTGCTGCTCTTAATTATTGCAGTGGTGAAATTGGTGTGGCAGTAATTTCATTTCATAAGGCACCGTATCTGGGGACTTGCCTGATTGGTTGTTCTATGTATGAATGTATAAGTGGAGATTATCTTGTAATTTATTGATAAAACCACGATAATTGTTTCCTAGAGAGATGTTAATGGTTGTAATCAATGGACACTAATTGCAGCATTCGTGATATATTCATTATAGGGTGTTGTGGCAATGTCATTTATTTTCTTGTGGTGTATCTACAAACATATAAAATTAGAGCCACGTATCCTAAAAACTATTGTGTCCCTATTCCATACTGTTGATATTGGAGTCATGGTTGCTGAGCCAAAGCACTGACATCCTGTCCCCCTGGAATTGTGGAGCTACTATGTATTTCGTTGGAACTTTGCAGAACAATTGTTGAACTTGTTTTAGTTATAGTATGGTGAGCAGGGGTTTTAGTGGTTGCCTTGTTGTGTAATTGTTTGAACGATTGGTATGGTGAAGTTGTATGATCATTCTGGAATGCGGGCGAAGAATGTGAATTGGCTTGCTTAAAGTGGTTGATGGAAACTCATCTGTATTACTTGAAGGTGATGTAACACATGGGTATTCTAGCATAGAAGTTATCTCTGGAGTCTGGACTGGGTCTTTTATTGCAGATGGATTCGGAAAACGATTTACGCGTGTAAGGATACAATTTTCCATTTAAAGAAAAGTAAGCTACTTAGAGAGCCCAATGTTTTAAGACTCTCATCAATGAGCCAAACTGAATGCATAAAAATACGGAAAGTGGGTTTTTTTGCTTGCCTTTTCTACTTGTATTATGAAGGGGAAGTACGTGATATGCTGCATGCTTTTACTTTTCATTAATTTTGTGAGAGATTGGCTTAGTATCACTTATGAATTCATGGGACTGCTTCTGTTGTCAACGATGATGAAAATTGAATTACGACCTTTGTCTTTGGGGAGCTTTGAGTTACTACTTTCTTGCTGAATGGTCTGACTTCTGATTTTCTTTCTTCTCTCAGTTGAATGCAGAAAAAAGCCCATTTCAGCGAACATATGCTATTCAGGTAATTTCTGACCTGCATCCATTTTATTGATGTAATTTGGATTTCTACTCAAGTACTGCATTATAACATTATGGCTACGAAGCGTGAAGCGTGTTTATAGAATTGAACATTATTGCTAGTTAGTTAGCATGCAACTAGAAATAGTAGGATATCATATTTACATAATTGTATCCTTTTTTGTTTGAATAGGTCTACATTATTGTTTATTTGTGAGCAACCTTTTCTCCTCACATACAATGGTTGTATGCTATCCATTTTTTGGCTTCTGAAGTTTATATAGTCAATGTTTCAGTTCTTATGGGTTGTAGTTGAGAACTTATTACCTTTATGTAAGAACTTGGTGTGTTTTTCCATATCATATATATTTCTACTACAGAAGTTGCTAAAGTATTGTTTCTTTTGTCTTTCTTAAAGATTAAAAGATGTGGAGAAATGGCGCGAAAATTAAGATTTTTCCTGGACCAGATGTCAAAAGCAGGGTTACCACCAGCAGCAAGGTTTGAGGCACAAGCAGCTGCCAGTTTTGATGACCTGGAGGTACCTTTTCCATTCTGTATCTAAGTTCCATCATTTAAATGTGAACCTTGAGTCCCATGCCATTTCCATTTTCAGGTTAAACTTGGAGACCTCGAGGCAGAATTAGTTGAAATAAATGCTAATGGGGAAAAGTTGCAGCGCTCCTACAATGAACTAGCGGAATACAAGCTTGTACTACTGAAGGCATGCACTTATCCATTTATCCATAATTTCATATCCATATTTTGTTATATGTGTTACTTAGCGCAGGAACCATGGACAAATTTAATATTGGTAGCAAAAAATGTGAAAGATTTAATGGACTTGTCATTTGAGGAAGTGTCTTGATATTTACTGAAGATTTGGTAACTCAAAATGCATTTAAACAATGGTTTCTTAACCTCAACCTTACTGAAACTCATGCCTAACTAGATGTAGTACACTGTTGACGCCTTTTGTTTTCTTGGGTCTTCCTTTCCACAGTTATGATACCTAATATTTACATTAGATATATTCATTGTGGGCTAGAATAATATGACAAACTTTGCCCAGAAAGTAGCCAGCTGAAATTATATATTTATTAAAAATTCCCTGTAATTGCTAAGGATTTATCCTCACTGCATCTCCATGATTAGAACGGGAGAATTCTGTTTTCTATTGTTTGGAACTAATCTTTTAAAGAGTAAAGACAAAAACTTTTCTAAGCTCGTGATTACATGCTGACATGATAGCTGTTCACCTCTTCAGGCTGGTGAATTTTTTCAATCTGCCCTTAGCAGCGCTGAGGCTAATCAAAGGGAATACTCATCAAATCAGAGTGGTGAGGATTCCTTGGAAACTCCATTGCTGTCTGAGCAGGTTTTTACTGTTGCATTTGACCATTTTTTAAGATGGTGGTAGTCCGTTGGAATAGTTTAATTGAATGATCTTTTGTTTCTAGGGAGCTACAATTGATCCTTCCAAGCAAGTCAAGCTGGGATTTATTACAGGACTAGTCCCCAGGGACAAGTCAATGGCATTTGAGAGAATTTTGTTCCGAGCTACCAGGGGTAATGTGTTTATGAAACAGGATACGGTGGATCAGCCAGTCATTGATCCTGTATCTGGAGAAAAGGTTTGTGTCTAACATGTATTGTTATACATGCTAATTGCTGAGATGTGCTGTGAAAGCTTGTTGAAGCGAGGTGTATGCAATTTCTTTTTTTATTTAGTCCTTGTTATTTGAACCACTAGCACAATACAAGGACTTATAAATGGTTCTTGCGATATAGGTTGAGAAGAATGTATTTGTAGTCTTCTTTTCTGGAGAAAGAGCAAAAAACAAAATCCTCAAAATATGCGAAGCTTTTGGAGCAAATCGTTACTCTTTTAGTGAGGACCTGGGCAAGCAATCTCAAATGATCACCGAGGTAACTATTACTCATTTATGATTAAGAATAGGCAAAGAACAATAATTTAATTTTGCACCTTATTTTCCACTATTTCAGGTTTCTGGGAGACTGTCAGAGCTGAAGACTACGATAGATGCAGGACTTGTTCACCGCAGTAATTTACTACAAAGTATTGGCGAACAATTTGAGCAGTGGAACTTCTTGGTGTGTTGCTTAACTGTATCTGAGTTCTTGCTATTGCAATACTATTCTCTTTTCTCATCATGTAATCATCATCGTTTTATGCTCCTTCGAATTTACGGATCTGTCTTCTCTTCAATAAAATGCATTTTTGATATGTGTGTTGCTAAAGGTGAGGAAGGAGAAAGCCATTTACCATACCCTGAATATGCTCAGCATTGATGTCACCAAGAAATGCCTTGTGGCAGAAGGGTGGAGCCCTGTTTTTGCGACCAATGAGGTAAATGTTTTGTTATATTGTAATTTTGATGTCCTTGTTTAGGTTATTTTCGAGCATCTTTTTCAACAAATTGAGTCATGCGTAATTCAAACATTTGTAAAACTTTCCTCATTGCAGATCCAGGATTCCTTACACCGGGCAACCCTCGACTCCAACTCACAGGTTGATGCAATATTTCAAGTACTGCATACGCGTGAGATGCCACCAACTTATTTTAGAACTAACAAATTCACTTCAGCTTTCCAAGAGATAGTTGATGCTTATGGGTGAGTTATGAGACATGTGATTAACCCCTTGAAGATGCTACGAAGCGTAATAGTTAATTCACTTTAAAAGATTGCCTTGACACCGAGAAAATCAAATCATGTGATGTAATTGTCTTCATGGCAGAGTGGCTAAGTACCAAGAAGCAAACCCTGGTGTATTCACCATTGTCACATTCCCATTTCTTTTCGCTGTCATGTTTGGAGACTGGGGACATGGCATATGCCTTCTGCTTGCTACATTGTTTTTTATTGTTAGGGAGAAAAAGCTCTCCAGCCAGGTAATTTCTACAAGTTCGTTCTGTTTTTTAACCAGTTTATTAGCAGCTGTGAGTGTTTTATATATGTTGAATCATTCTTTTGTGCTTTGCGAATCTCCTATTGAATGTAACAATTCACTTGCTATAATTTTGCCTTCTTTACAGTTTCTTGGTAGCCATTCCCTGAAGGTTTTGGCTCATCATCTCCCTATGATTAAGTTTGTCTCTTTGAACACAGAAACTTTGTGACATCATGGAAATGACGTTTGGAGGACGTTATGTAATCCTGTTGATGGCCCTATTCTCAATTTACACCGGGTTGATCTATAATGAGTTTTTCTCCGTGCCGTTTGAATTGTTTGCTCGTTCAGCATATGTATGTCGTGATCCAGATTGCAGGTACATAATATACCCTCAACCTTTGAATATGGTTTTCATGGTTTTTTTTTTTTTTTTNATTTTTTTTTTTTTTTTTCTTTTTTTCTGTTGAACTCTTTGTATACTGCAGGGATGCTACTACTGTGGGCTTGATCAAGGCACGTGACACGTACCCATTTGGAGTGGATCCTGCATGGCATGGTACACGCAGTGAGCTTCCATTCCTTAACTCGCTAAAAATGAAAATGTCAATCCTACTTGGAGTTGCTCAGATGAACCTGGGAATAATATTGAGTTATTTTAATGCCCGGTTCTTCAAGAATAACATAAATATATGGTAAGTTGAAGTTTCCATACTTTCCGTTCTGATAGGCTACCGGTAGACTTAGTCTTCATTTGGACTGTGATAGACTTGAGGAGGGATTTTGAAGTCCCTCATCGAATCCCATGTTTAGCTAAGAAATTGAAATCAATGGATGTCAGAAAGGCTTCTGAATTTAAGTTCCTTGTTTTTTTTTGGTGTGGGACTCTTTCTCAAACATAGCCCTTTGGCTTTGACATACATACTTCATGTGCAATTACACAAGTAGTCACTACACGTCACACTACACTTGCAAAATATAATTTACTAGATTTTGTACTGTTTGCTAAAACATTTGCGAAAAATTTATATTATTTGTTTGAACTTGAGATTTCACAAATTAAAGGTAAGTGAAAATCCATGAAATTTGTACATTCCGATTTCCGATCCCTCAATCCAAATGGAACATTTGGTTACTTGCATTTAGAAATACCTTTCTGTTTACAATTGTTATACCGTCTACTCACAACATCATAATTCTTATGTGCTGCTATTATCTCTTCCAGGTTCCAGTTTATTCCACAGATGATATTTCTGAATGCCCTGTTTGGCTACCTTTCTGTTCTTATTATCATTAAATGGTGCACTGGATCAAAAGCTGATTTGTACCATGTTATGATCTACATGTTCCTGAGTCCAACTGATGAGCTTGGTGAAAACCAGCTTTTCCCTGGTCAAAAGATGGCTCAGGTGAGTAGTTGATGGAGAAGTAGTATTATTATTATTATTATTATTATTATTATTATTATTATTTTTATTTATATTTTTATTTATATTTTTATTTTTATTTTTTAATTGCCTATGCAAATGTTAGCTTTCCAGATTAATGCAAGTTTTCATGCCTACAGCTTGTGTTATTACTGCTGGCCCTTGTCTCTGTCCCATGGATGCTGCTTCCAAAGCCCTTCCTTCTGAAGATGCAACACAATGTATGTATGCATTTTCAAAGAGATTTTACCTAATTGCAGAACTTTCGAATTATCATTCAAAACTACAATCACCAAAATACATTTGTTTCATTTTTAAATTTCATTGTTTCAAAAGATTTTTTTTTTTTCCCTTTCTGGGGTGGTGGTGGTATATAATATCGAAATTAACTGGAGGTCTTTGTAATTAGGTTACTTTTTGTGATAGGCGTATCTTGTATATTAGTATATAACATATCTTGTATTTGCCTGCTTTGATTTCGCCTCTGATTTTTCAGAGGCACCATGGAGAGTCTTATGAACCCCTTGCAAATACAGACGAGTCTTTGTTGTCTGAAGCAAATGACAATTCCCATAGTCACGAGGAATTTGAATTCAGTGAAGTTTTTGTGCATCAGCTCATACACACAATTGAATTTGTGCTTGGGGCAGTTTCAAATACTGCTTCTTATCTTCGTTTATGGGCTCTCAGGTATATATGCCTTCTCAAATTCGCATTATGCTGAGCATACTAAATTCAATCTTAGAGCATCAGATTTATTACTATACTCTTTGAACTTTTGTCATTGCATAAGTGGAAGCAAGCATAGATTCTTGAAGATGCTTATTTATTTATTTTTTTCTAAATCACTTCTCTAAATCGTTCAATCTCTCAGCCTTGCCCACTCCGAGTTATCCAGTGTATTCTACGAAAAGGTTCTTCTTCTTGCTTGGGGGTAAGTTTGAACCATTTCTTCTAAATCTTCACTCGACTTGTATATATATATATGCTTTTCAGTGGACCAAAAAAACACGATCGAACGTCCTGTATACAGGTACAACAATGTAGTTATCCTTATCATTGGCATCATCATCTTCATTTTTGCGACTGTTGGAGTTTTGCTGGTAATGGAAACTTTGAGTGCCTTCTTGCACGCATTAAGGCTTCACTGGGTTGAGTTCCAGAACAAGTTTTACGAAGGAGATGGGTACAAGTTTTATCCATTCACATTTGCTTTGCTCGATCATGAAGAGGAATGAGCCGAGCTTTTTACACTATATAATAAAAAGATCGAACGGTTATATTTTTCCCATGCATAGAGAGGAGGCAGCAAATGCATACATTGTGTTCTACGTCTGGAATCGAGGTAGTTCTTTTTGCCTTCCCTCACATCATATTGTCACAATAAGCTTACGTGTGAGTGCTGCATTTCCTAAATTTATGCTACCACGTGTAATTTATTTATTTATCCCCTATTATCTTAGTTATTATGCAGCTTATCATGCATATATGTATCTTTGTATTTGTAAGCAAAAGTAAAAATATTGGTAGTGTTGTGTACTAGGTTGAGTAAATAAACGTTGAAAGGATATTCGTTTATTCAAAAAAATAATTATGTTAGTCTGTGATCGTTCAGGAATGTGATTATTTTATATTTATTAAAACAGAACCTTATTGCCCCGTCCAAAAGGGAGATTGTTTTGTGTTATTAAAAGCGATCATTTTCCCCCAAGTAATAATAGTTGTAATAACTTTTTTTTTAAGGTATCCAATTTTAAAATTCCAACTTAGGCCTTTAATAATTCAAAGTCGACGGCTCGACCCTTTGATTTTGGCTATGGTGGTAGATTTCCCCCAATCGATAACTGCTATAGAGTCGGAATCTTTGTATTACGGGTCAAGTTAGTGTGGGGAGGCGTACGTAGCACTGCGTAATCTCTCTTATATATAATTTCAGAATGCCTTGAGTCTAAGTGGCAGCTTCACACGCTTCGTAGTCTTACATGACAAAATATTATGCTTTGTGATATGATTTGGATAAAAATTATTAATTTTTATATCAAATATTTTAGGTTCTAATTACCATATATACACATATTAAATATATATATATATATATATATATATATATAAACCATTTCTGTTATAAAAGAAATCTTTGCCTCATTGGGAAATTGGATAAAAGTTATGTTCAATTTCATGTAGGGGGATATTTCTGGTAATGAGACTGTAATTTTATATATTATGGCCCTAAGAATTTTTCATTTTATAGCACTAGCGGGTAAGAGGCAGCATAGGATAGTCTCCGGCTCTGCAGTTGACCTCAATGTAATCGACCCAACGAACGAAGCGCTGGACATTCTGGTAAGGATCTTGGTGAACATTGCTTATCTCATATTTACTATTTTTTATTTCGACCCTTTTTAATCTCAATCTTATCAATTCAACTAAAAAATAAAAATAAAAATTGTAACATAATTTTCAATAAACTTTACTATTCATCAACTCAATAATCTTAACTATCAATAACTTATATTCATTATTTTATTTCACATTAAATTTAGTTATTATGTTTATCTCATTTTATTTACAATTTTTGAGGAAAAAAAATATTTGCTCTTTCGCTCACTTTT